CTGCGGATAGCTTTTTAGAGGGAAGTATACATTGCTGACCAGTTGGTTTTCCCCAAACCTGTGCTATTCCTAGAGAGTAAGTAGGAACAAATAGCCTTGGTAATTAAATATTGTTGCCCTAAAGCAGAACTAAAGACTTATCTGCCTGTTTGCAATGCTCTGCAAAATGTACACGGAGCTGCGTATATGCAGCTCCGTTAACATTTTCAGCACAGTGCATGGGAGTAACATCATCCCGCACCTGCTAATCAAGGTGAATTGAGATCAGCACCCAGACTCAGGCAAGGAAAAGATGCCAATACCAGCAAGGGATATCACGGGCATCGGACTGTTGGAAAATAGGTGAATATTTCTGACTTTATTTCGACTAAAATATAATGGCTAATAAGAATTTCAAACAAACCTTATTACTTGTCAGAGGTGCATACAGATCTGATTTACTTTTAAATGTCAAGCTACATTTCGGTGTTATGTGACACCATTTTTTTTGTTATAACAACTAGTTTGGTTATTCAAGATATCCTCTAAACTAGCCATAGCCATCCAGTAATCGTCATCCAATCAAACCAATTCCTGCTGAATCCAGCAACAATTTCATGTCTATGGAGAGCAACACAAATTTATGTTCTGCAGATCTGGGGGCTTGACAGGTTGTAAACTGTTTTCTCTGTAGGGAAGATGTATTAGAGGTCTGCATTTATGTATATAACTGATTTAATTCAGGCACTGAAAGAGTGTATAAAACAATTAGATGACAGGTTTTTTGTATATCTTGGATGCTGGAAGACCTTGTCCTGATACAGGCTACACTGATATACCTACCCATATATATAGGGGGAGATTTACTAAAACTGGTGCAGCTGAGCATAGTAATAAATCAGCTTCTATCTTCAGCTTGTTCAGTTAAGCTTTGGCAATAAAACTTTGAAGCTGATTGGTTACTATGCACAGCTGCACCAAATTCTGTGTGCACCAGTTTAAGTACTGTAAATCCTCCTTCCCCTTATAGGAGCATAATGTGGCACTATGACGAGCTGTTTTAGTTTAAAAAGACTCAAAGAGAAGGCACTTTTCTAAAAATAACGTTTAAAATAACAAATATGTCATACTTACCTGCTCTGTGCAGTGGTTTTGCACAGAGTAGACCTCATCTTCCTCTTCTTGGGTCTCCCACCAGCGCTCCTGCCCCCTTCCTCCTGTCAAGTGCCCCCATAGCAAGCAGCTTGCTATGGGGGCACCCAAGCAAGCTCACTCCTGAGCCGCTGGTCTGTGTCTCCAATCACACACTTGCACGGCTCGCCCCCCTCCCCCCACTCTCTCCTCATTGGCTCCCTGGCCGTGATTGACAGTAGTGGGAGCCAATGGTTCCTGCTGCTGTCTTAGCCAATGAGGAGGAAGGGTTCCTAAAGAGCAGCTGCTCTTGTGCACATCACTGGATCAAAAGGGGGCTCAGATAGGTATTATGGGGATCATCTGCACACAGAAGGTTTTTTACCTTCATGCATAGAATGCATGAAGGTAAAAAACCTTGAGTCTTTACAACCACTTAAATCCAATGAAGTCTTACATTTTTTTATCTCTTTACCTTTTATCTTTTTACCCACATTGTATGATTTGTGACCATGAACATAGAGATTTTTTGTACAATCTTTATATGACTACAGGCTGTATATATTTCTGTGACTCCAACTTGGTTTTAAAGTGATTGTATACCCTTACCTTGTAAAACAATCTATTCAATTTAAAATACAAATGAAAGGTAGAACATTTGTGTATACATATAAAAACATTATAAACACCTTTTTTCCCATTTTTTATAAGTGATCACTTTCTCTCTGTTCTCAGCTGAATAAGAGCTTGGGGAAGAGAAGCAGCAGTACACTGATCTTCCCAGTGCATATCAGAAATATGAAATGGATTTACATATTCTTTGAGTGCCAAGTTTTTCCAGGTGTATTGGCTAACTGTCCAGCCCTGATGGTGTGCACTCACAGACCTGTCTACACAATCTCAGAAAGTGTAGGAATCTTCCTCACTGTCTGTTTACTGGAATTATTATTTCTCATTTTCTTTTACCAGCTAGATTTTTATAGCACTGTAATTATAAACCACATATGGGCTTGAGAGACAAGTAATGTCCCTTGAACCTATTTTATGGTAAATAAATGCTCTCCTTTCTGCCTGAAAGCTATTTGTCACAATACTCTGCCCTCTGCTTCAAGCTACTTACAAAACCCTAGTCTAAGCAAAAATCTTTGTGTAGTTTCTAAAGGCAGAGCTGATGTCCTAAAACACAAACTGAGATGTACTGTATATGCTGTCTGTGGCCATTTTAATTTGAGATCCTAAAGATACTGTGAGCAATGCTGTGTCTGTGCTGCCTTGGCCACTGCATCATAGTGAGGCACTCTAACAAAAGCTACTGGTGGTTAATGGAAGCAGATTCTTTTTGTTCCATCTGCATTCTGGCAGAAGCAGTAAAGCAGACACCCCTTTGAATAGCAGCATCCTCAGTCTGGGGGAACTGTAGTGGTAGACAAGCAGATTTGAATGGACTTGACTAACAAATTGAAGCTGAACTTTTTAAGCAGTTACAGTAGTTTTTTTTTTCTTTGGACACAGAGCATCACCGATTGGTATAGGGCTTTCTGATTGGCCCTTGTACACATGTGATGTCTGTGCCCAATCACAGCCATCCCAGAATATATATAAAGCATGCCAGTTGATCGGCTCTCCTTCACAAGTGAAGAGAAGGAGAGCCAATCTGTAAATTACCACTGATTTTTCACTGGATTTACACTCTGGTCAGACATAGTACATACATCTGTCCAAAGTTCACATCAACATCTGTCACACTGTCCCATTCACATCTGTTACAGTGCCCCTGTGCAAAACAACATCTTTTAGTGTCCCAATGCACAACATCTGTTAGTGCCCCATCAACATTTGTTACAGTGTCCAAGTCTAAATTGGCCCTAGTATATGAATGTACATTAGGGACTTTAGATTGTACACCCCTTGAGGGTTAGGGACAGATGTGAATGTACAATATATATGTAAAAGTGCTGCGTAAATTGACGGCGCTATATAAGTACCTGAAATAAATAAATAAGTGCACCAACATCTGCCATTGTGTCCCAGTGCAACTTCTACGTCTGTGTTCCAGTGGATCATTAACATCTGTCTCAGTGTCCCAATACACCAACATCTGTTAGTGTCCTCCCGGTGCACCAACATTTGTCATAGTGTCACCAGGACACCATCAATGTCTGTCACCAGTGCAGAATCAACATCTGAAAGCCATGTCTAAAAAATGTTACCCCCACGAGGAGGCATTCCAGATTCTGAGCATAATAAATGAGAGTAGCAGGGAACTCTCACTGTCAGACTCAGATTCTGAATATAAACCTACTGACAGCAGTGGGTCAGTAACAGATTCCGAGGTTTAGAGGATCCCAACAAAGAGAATCAGGTGATATGAGGAGGAGCAGGAAACTACCAGCAGTGCTGTACATCCTGGTGAAGTGGTGAGCACCAGCAGCTCAGTACACCCACAATCCACCGCAAAGAATTAGAGCCCATATTAGCATCCCAGAGTTGCTTTTAAAGCCCATATTGCTGCCCTCTAATTTGACAGAATCTACAATCTTCCCATTTACAGCGCAGCCAGGCCCTCTGATAGTAACAAAAAACAATGCTAAAAATTATTTTTTTCAATCTTTTTGCCAACCAATTCATTGCTAAAATTCCAAATTCATCTTGTGCCTGTCCATTTCAGTGGAAACCTGTCACTGTGGGAAAATTTTAAGTTTTTCTTGGACTTACACTGAAAATGAGATTGACAAAAGAAAAATTAAATCCACGCCTACTGGTCCACCCACCCCATACATCAGTTTATTCTTCTATTATGCCCAGAAACACACTATGAGATGATCACAAGGTTTTTACACAAGTGATAATTCCCTGTGCCCTCCTAGAAGTCATTGTGCTTATAACAAGCTGTACAAAATAAGACCACTCATCAATTTTTTTTCAGTAGATTTTCCGAAATGTATTCTCAACTAAAATATTTGTGTGGCTGAGTCCCTCGTTCATTTCACTAGAAGGCTGGGCATTAAACAGTACATGCCCAGTAAATGGGCCAAACATGGCATGAAGTTATACAAGCTTTGCAACAGGGTCACAGGATACATGTATAACTTTCGGGTTTATGAGGAAAAGGACAATCAGCTAGAGCCCCCTGGATGCCCTTCCTATATGGTAAATTGTGTGGAACTCTGTAGTCCCACTCTTCCTAAAGGGGTACACTAGCCTCCCACTAATCCTCCATCTTTATCTCAAGCAAACTGTGGCCTGTGGGACAGCTCGACCAAATCGCAAGGGCTTCCCACTAAGATTGGTCATCTCAAAACTCAAAAGGGAGGATTTTAGCCCTAAAGTAGGGAGATAAAGGAGATGTGTATGTCCTTTCCTCCATCCACGATGATACCTCTGTAGAATTTCAAGGAAGATGTGGTCCCAAACCCAAGTGCACACACGACTACAACCAGTTAATGGGGGATGCAGATTTTAACTACCAAATGTTACAGCTCTACTTGACCAGCAGGAGAGCAATCCATTGGAACAAAACATATTGTGACGGAAGCATAGGCAGGACAGAACACACAAAGAAGATGGGGAACACACAAAGCTTTACTGAACTCTGAAAGACATTCAATCAGGACAGTTCATGGCACTCTGCGACAGGCGGCTTGTAGGGACACCCACAGTAAGCAGGCTCACGGGGACTCAACGGGACTCTAGCTGTGGAGTCTGGTCTAGCACGGCTCCCACCCAGCTTTCCAGGGACCTCGGGGCTCACGGGGACTCAACGGGACTCCAGCTGTGGAGTCTGGCCTAGCATGGCTCCCACCCAGCTTTCTAGGGACATCGGGATCAGGGGGATTCAACGGGACTCTAGCTGTGGAGTCTGGCCTAGCACAGCCCCACCCAGCTTTCCAAGGACATCGGGCTCACGGGGACTCAACGGGACTCCAGCTGTGGAGTCTGGCCTAGCACGGCTCCCATCCAGCTTTCTAGGGACACCGGGCTCACGGGGACTCAACGGGACTCTAGCTGTGGAGTCTGGCCTAGCACAGCTCCCACCCAGCTTTCCAGGGACATCGAGCTCACGGGGACTCAACGGGACTCTAGCTGTGGAGTCTGGCCTAGCACAGCTCCCACCCAGCTTTCCAGGGACATCGGGCTCACGGGGACTCAACAGGTAGCAATGGCTCAAGCACTCAGGGGCATCACAGGTAGCTATACTCCGGGCGCGCCATGGGGTGGTTCAAGTAAGGGTAGTCTAGGCGTGTAGTAGGGCAGTTCATGACCCGGGTGGTCAGTGCACGCAACAGGGACAGTTCAGGACACAGGTGGTCAGTGCACACAGCAGGGACAGTTCAGGACAAGGGTGGTCGGTGCACACATCAGGGTCAGTTCAGGACACGGGTGGTCGGTGCGCACAACAGGGACAGTTCAGGACACGGGTGGTCGGTGCACACAACAGGGACAGTTCAGGACACGGGTGTCAATGCGCACAACAGGAACAGTTCACGACACGGATGGTCGATGCGCACAGCAGGGACAGTTCAGGACACGGGGGTCGATGCGCACAACAGGAACAGTTCCGGACATGGGTGGTCGGTGCGCACAACAGGGACAGTTCAGGACACGGGGGGATCGTTGCGCACAACAGGGACAGTTCAGGACACGGGGGGTCGGTGTGCACAACAGGGACAGTGCAGGACAAGGGTGGTCTGTGCGCACAGCAGGGACAGTTCATGGCTTCTGGGGACACTTACGATAGGCGTCTTGCAGGTGCTCAGCAGCAGGCAGCTCCCAGAGGGGGGTAGGCGACATGCGGACACTCAGCAGCAGTCAGCTTCCAGGGACAAAGCGGTCAGCAGGCAGGCCGGCTTTCCAGGGGCCCAGTGATCTGCAGACAGGACGGCTTCCCAGGGGCCCAACGATCAGCAGACGGGACGGCTTCCCAGGGACCCTCAGCAACGGACGGCGGCCCTCACAGCAGCCAGCTTTTCAGGGGACAGCAGTGATTAGCAGGCAGGGGCCCTCCCAGTGGCCCACTTCTCCAGGGGCCCATTGATCAGCAGGCAGGGGCCCTCCCAGCGGCCTGCTTCTCCAGGGGCCCATCGCAGCGGCCAGGAACAGCAACAGGAGTCATGGCTGTGGGGTCTGACCTTTGCGGAGGGGGGCTCATGCAGAGCGCTCAGCGGGGATGTCTGCAGGGGCTCCCACCCTGGGACATTCAGTGGAGGGCAGCGGGTACTCCCAACCCCGGGGAGTTGCAGAGGGCTACAGTCATGACCTTTTGGGGGTCTACAGAGTGTGCAGCGGGGATGGCTGCGAAGGCCCAGTCCCGGGCCTCCCAGCGGCTTCCAGGGAGGTAGGCGACTCCAGCAGCGTGCACAGGAACAGAGAGACCGGCCTGCTGCTCTCGCACCAGCCTCTTAAAGCCGTGCGAGACACTGCCAGGTTGCCTCAGCAACGGCCGGCCCAGCACCGCATTGCTGGGGCAACGAGGCATGCCTCCCCCCACTCCGGCCACGCGGGGGGGGGGGGGGGAGCGCAGCCTTTGTCTCAGGCTGCTTTGCTGGAGAGGTGCTAATCACACCACATGGGGCGTTTCCTCCCTTTCTGAAGTCCTGCACAGCCCTTTCATGTAAGCTAGCAGGACTGAGGAGTCTGCAAGGAGGGAGGGAGGGGTGGAGGGATAAGGCAGAGGGACAGCAGGCAAAGGGGGGTGGGGAAGGCATGGGCACTCCATGACACATATCCATACACCTCTTTCAGTTAGGCCTGTACTATTCCTTTGTCATCTATTGTACTTACAAAAACCCCTATCCTACCAGGAGGACATTGTTCCAGTCTTTTCCATCTGGAAGAACAAATGCACTGTGATTCAGTAAGCAGGCTACATGAAAGACACTTCCTCGACTCCCCTCCTGCCAAAACAGGTCGCAAACCCCCTAAAAAAAGCTGTTGATGCACCAGTAACAGAAATAGACATGACACTATTGTCCTCAATGTCCCCCCTGGTCTGGCCTCTGTATAGGAGTTCCACTATCTACTATACATCACTACTCTATTAGTGAAGTATGGTTAACCGCTTCCCGCCCGGCCTATGGCCGAATGGCGGCCGGCAAAAACCCTCACCGCTCCGGGTGGACGCCATATGGCGTCCTTTCGGGCATGCGCAGTTTCTGCGCCTGCAGACCCACGCAGCGGCGTGATCTCTCACCGGCCGTGTACCTTGGACACGGCCGATGACAGATCTGAGTACCGGCCCCGTTGCCGGTACCATGTGACCTGCTGTGACCAATCACAGCAGGTCACATGACAGTTGTATACAATGGATGGCTTCATTCATGCCATCCATTGTATACTAGTGTGTCTAGCTGTGAATGGTCACAGCGATCACATGCACAAGCTGGACCAATCACAGCCCAGCTGTGTCATGTGATTAGTCGTGGCCAAATCACAGCTAAGCAAAAAAAAAAAAAAAAAAAAAAAAAAAAAAAACCCTGAATGAATGTATGTCATTCAGGCAAATGCCTGCTTATAGCAAAGTAATTCTTTGCTATAAGCAAATTGTGTAAAAAAAAAAACTGATCACTTCCCCAAAGTAGTACAATGTTATTATGGTCACATTGTACTACTTTGGTCATAGTGAAATATGGAAAAAAATTCTTAAAAAAAAAGACAAAAAGTAACAAAAAATTAAAAATAATTTTAAAAAAAATTACATTTTTTTTTTAAATTATATATATTATTTTCATACTGTCACCAGTCAGTGTCCCTGATCACCGCCATGCCAGTTATATGATGACGCTGTACTGCACTGGTGACAGTATGTAAAAAAAATAGTGAAAATAATTTTTTTAATTTTTTCATTTTCAAAAAAATTATGACAAAAAAAATACAACTTCAAAAAAGTTGCCATGCCTCTTATGAAGTACGTCGGACTGTCTACTTTGCAAAAAGGGGTCATTTGGGGGATATCTGTACTGTTCTGACATTCTTGGACCTCAAGAAATTAGATTGGCTGTCAGTACTTCAGGATTGATCAATAATCAGATCTATCCCATAGTTTGTGAACTCTATAACTTTCTTACAAACTAAAAATACATCCTAATTTTGGTTATTTTCACCAAAGACATAGGAGAATACATCTTGGCCTAAATTTATGAAAAACAATTATTTATTTGCAAACTTTTATAACAGAAAGAAAGAAAAACATGTTTTTTTTTCAAAAGTTTTGGTCTTTTTTGTTAATTTAGCAAAAAATAAAAACCCCAGTGTTGATTAAATACCACCAAAAGAAAGCTCTAGTTGTGTGAAGAAAATGATAAAATTTTTGTTTGGGTAAAATGTTGTATGACCGCGCAATTGTCATTCAAAGTGTGGTTAAGGTATTTTTCCAGTGTCAACTACCTGCCATTTTCCTGTATGACCATGCCTCTGCCTGCTGTCTAAACTGACCTTGTCCTGTTTGTCAACCACATTTCTGTCTTTCACCTGAACTGACTTCAGCCTGTTAATCAACCATGTTTTTGCCCTGCTACTGTAGTAGTGGGATTCAAGATAACACAGGGGTCTACTCCAGTGTAGTTTTTTAAAGTAGAGCAAACTAAGTTTTTGGTTTTCTCCAGGATTTGTCATTCCCAGGGTGGGAAGAAGACTCTGCCCTTGTGTCTAGGTCTTACCTGACCAAGGCACTAAGCCTGATGTTACTGCCTGCTACCATCTGTCCCTGGCCTGTTACTTGACCATGCCTCTGCCTTTCGCCTGAACTTACTCTGGCATTTTAACCACTTTCGGGCCACCTACTTTGCACCCCATGTTATAAAATCTTAAAAACAAATATAGCATTTATTAGCGCTAGGTTTGTGCTGTTTTGTGCCATAAAAATGTGTGCTGCTTTTGCTTTTAAGATAGTAGCCATTGTTTTTTCCAGATGATGAAATCAACCATCCCCCCTACAACAGCCAAAAGAAATTAAACTGGGCTGGTTGGTTAGTGCTACATTTATGCTGGTTTGTGCCATTTAAATCTCTGTTCTTTCTCTTATTAGTTTGCATTATTAACCACTTTCAGGCTGCCTGCTCGCAATGTACTGCAGATGGGCGGTAGCTACAGGACCTACCCGTATGTCGCTGGTCTTTTGTCAACACAGGGGGGTGCTGCAAGCCCAAGCGGGCATGCAACCCTACCCCCCAAGTCTGCTGTGTCCACTGGTCACAGCAGAATGAGAATCCCAATATTTAAGACCCGGTGGTCATGTGATCGCTATGCGATCACATGCTCACAATGACAATAAGAGCTTTTAGAAATCAATCTGATTCACAAAAGCTTTGCTTCTGTTCCTGGAGAGCTATGATTGGACCACAGCTCTCACATGACACATGGGGCCTATCACAGCACCATGTACCATGTGACCAGCTGGAGCCAAACACAGATCACCATTATATTGAACTGTCATGAACTGATTACCCCCCCCCCCCCCCCCCCCCCCCCCCCCCCCCCCCCCCCCCCCCCCCGCCGAGTAGTGCAATGCATTACTCCGATGAAAGTATTTAAAAAAAAAATGTTAAAGAAAAATGATTGAGAGAATTTTTTTTTTCAACTTCTTGCCACCATCTTACGTCACTTTCTATTAAGTAAAAGCACTATATTTTACATGCACACGTTAGATTAGCACATTTAGCTCTTTGATCGCCCCTATTAACCTTTGGATCACCCTGTCACCCAGCCAGTGCCATTAGTACAGTGTCAGTATATATAATTATAATAACACCGATCACTGTATTACTGCCACTAGCGACATCATATAACGTCAGGGTCAGTTATCTCCCCTCACAGCCAGGCTCAGCTAGCGTTAGGTTGCTTGTACACACTATCACACTCACACTATATACCACTGATCACTGTCATTACTAGTATAGTGTTTGTACAGATCAATATATTGATCGCGAACAGAACTATACTAGTGCCTCCTTTGTATAGTGTCCCCAAAAATGCAGTGTTAGCAGGATTGGCCCCGTTCGCTGCCAGAACTAGCGTTTAGCCCCTCCGCTGTTTTTCAAGGAAGATTTGAACCAATTGATTGTGGGCCAAAGCAGTTTATACGCAAAAGAATACATCGCTGCCCACCCAAATTCATCTCTTTTTTGGGCCTAACCCTCAAAATGGACATTACAAAAAAGAATGAATTGTGGTCATATTGGTCCACAGACCCGATTCATCATATGCCCATGTTCATTGCTGTTACATATACTGCTCAAAAAAATTAAAGGAACACTTTGAAAACACATCAGATCTCAATGGGGAAAAATATCATGCTGGACATCTATACGGATATGGACTGGGTAATGTGTTAGGAACGTAAGGATGCCCCATCTTTTGATAGAAATGAAAATTACACAGGTCTGCAAAAAAAATTTTTCAAGAGCTGTTTTGGTTATTCCACATAATCTTTCTGTTTTTTGGTGCGCTGAATCCGAAAATGACCTCCATTTAGGATAGGACATCACGTTTCCTGACAATTTAGGTAACTATGTTAAATAAGGCAATACCTCAAAATAAATGGAAATAGATTTATAAAATTAAAGTTTTATTACAATATTTTCATGAAAATCCTTTTTTGAACTGAAATGAGCTCACCTACACACACTAAACTCGATTCTTCTTCCCTGTAAGGCTCCTCTTGTTCTAGAGGCTGACAAAAACAAATAGGAAGCCAACTTCTGCTGA